TTTTTTTTGGCAAGAGATTCCAAAATTTCATTTAAAGTTTTTGATCCTTTTTCCAAAAATTAAATTACCCTTTTTTCCATCTCGTTTAACTTAAAATCTTTTATTAAAATAAAAAGAAACACCCCATTCTAAATTTCATTATTACAACATTTTGAAATTTTAAATTTTTTAAATATTCGACAACAACCGGGTTTTCAAATTTTTTTTATCAATTTTCCTTTTGCCACAACAAGGGTTTCACCTGAAGTTCTTAGCCACAGCTTTTTCTTTAACTGAAATATTAGTATAAAAACATGATCACAAAAGTATGTCAATCTTTTTAATTTTTTATTAAAACACTGCATTTTTGTAACGTCATTTTTATTGGATAATTAGTTTATATTTTACTTTTTAAACACACTGCTTTTATTTAAAAGAAATCTTGCTTTATTCCTTAAATATGCCTGCTGTATAATTAAATTGTTATAAATATTCTACATTTATGCCTTAAAATTGTCTGCCAATAACCCTTTTCTGGTGCTTGGGTTATAAAAACAAAAAACCCTTTAAAAGGGGATAAACCTTCAAAAATTTTTTGACTTTCAAAACATGACTTTCTGAGGGGTTTTTATTTTGCAACAAGCAAAATGAAAAGCATGGGATTTTATCTTTTTAAAAATGAAATCCCAAAACAAAATTGCCTCAGAAAACCCTTACAAATAATTTTCCTTTTTTTTTATATCAAAAATTTTAAGTTTAAAAAAATTCAATTTTCTGATTTTTTTAAATTTTAAACCGATAAAATACAATTTCAAGAAAAACATTTTTTAAGAAAGCAGAGAATACTCACTTTGCAAAAAACCATGCCCTTTTAAATTTGCATTCATTCCAATTAAAAAATCAGAACACACACCAATGGAAAACCGCAAAAAAACAACTAGCTTTCCTTATATGTACCCTTTTTTTCACTACACACAATACAATTTTTTTATCGTTTTAAAAATAAGGACTTCATGACTGATGGAAATTTTTAGGAACATTTTGTGTAGGGTTTAAAACTAATTTATTAAGAGGTTAAAAAAAGTATGTGTAACTCAGGCCGCATATAATTTTTTCAAAAAATTACTTGTGCTAAAATAATATTTTCTTTCATTTAAAATAAAAACAATGACAATTCATATAAAATCAGTTTTCATATTTAGTCAATTATTTATCATTCCTATTCAAAATTCACATGATATCTCAAAATGGTCACAAGCCTAAAAGTTTGTTTGTTTGTTTGATTGGGTTTTATGTAACACCGACACAGTATAGGTCATATGGCGACGTTCAACCTTTACTCGAATGGGTACCTGAGTAGAACCAACAATGTTCCGTAATCTAGCTAGATAGCAGCCTAAAAGAAATCTTTAAAGTAAGCAAATGATAAGTATAGTGTACTCGCCTGTTTAGGACTGAGGAAATAAAACAACATGCCTTGAAACAATGTCTTACGTCGTGAATCCGGGTTAAACGAGACTTCATTAGTGTCTACTTGTGTTTCAGCCAATTCTGGTGTAAACCTGTTGAATATAGTAAGAAAGTAAGAAAGTAACAACTTTATTTAATGAGGCTAACACATTCAGTTTCCTGATCTCCCATGGGGGCCTCAGTATATACAAAATAATACAGTTAAACTTCGTTCGCTCGAACTCGGATCGCTCGAATACCTCCCTTCGCTCGAACTCTTCGCCCAGTCCCGGCAAAATTCCTATATGATATATATTGTTCTACCTCGGATCGCTCGAACACCCATCGCTCGAACTCTCGTCCCTTCGGAAGAAATATAGTGTAAATCACACCTTTTCGGTCGAACACAAACAGACAACAAAAGTTGCGGGTCGACATGTTCTAAATAATTGACAGCCGGCGACACATGTTTTTAACACCTCGTGATGGTGACAAGGGCAATTAAGGTTAATTGATACAAATTAAAAGGTGTTGAAACCGATTTGTTTGTTATGATAAAATTGTATATTTGCCGTGTTTAGTAATCATAAAAAGAAAATAACCCCTGAAATGCGCAAAAGTCAATAAATAAATGACGTTTACCTGGACGGCTTTAATTACAACCGTGGATCATGTAATGTGAATTGTAACAGTGTAATCTATTTATAGAATGATACTTGTACGTGTGTTTATTTTAGTAAATGACTACAAAAATATGCTGCTGTAAAATGTTCTTTTGTTAATATTTAATTAATGCATTGTTTAAAATAAAATTCATCCCATAATAAACATATAACTATATTTTGAACATTGTTCACAGTTTGGATAATGATCGCCCAATTGAACCCAACCAATTACAATATGCATGAATATACATGTAGATTAACACAGTGACCGTTAAATCTGTTTTCAATAGGATAATAATTCTTACTAGGACGTATTCAACAAATGAATGTACTAGCAAACAATTATATTGACGTATTTATCATTTGACCGATATAAGTTTGAAAACCTTCAGGCCTTTGTTCTATGTAATAATTGTTCAACCTCGGTTGGCTCGAACTACCGATCTCTCGAACAAATTTGCACAGGGCCTCCGAGTTCGAGCGAACGAAGTTCGACTGTATAAAATACAATCACAATCAACATTTCGACAACATAAAGATTTACATAAAACATCATTATGTCAATATACATGTAGCAATAAATAAACTTTTATTTCATTATTATGTATGTGTATTATTATTATGTATGTGTATAATTTTATTTCAAGACCAAACAAAGGTAGTATTCTAGTAATCATACATTTTTCCTTCAACATATGAGCCGTGTCATGACAAAACCAACATAATGGGTTTGCGACCAGCATGGATCCAGACCAGCCTGCGCATCCGCGCAGTCTGATCAGGATCCATGCTGTTCGCTTACAGACCCCATAACAAGTAAAGAAACTGATAGCGAACAGCATGGATCCTGAACAGACTGCGTGGATGCACAGGCTGGTCTGGATCCAAGCTGGTCGCAAAAGCACTATGTTGGTTTTGTCATGACGCGGCTCATATTCAGAAAACTAACAAGACCTGTTGAATCTGAAACAAGCAGCTATGACTTAGAAAGGATACATAGCATAATTATAGTCTAAATATTGCAGGAATTTTTTCTACATACATGTACTTAAAAAGGAAACAATTCAAACAAACTTAAAAATGATAGAACATGAATTATAATACCTGCTTGGATCAGGTTTCTCCTCTAAACCTTGCAAATGTTTTTTATATGCTTCTACGTACTGAGGCGTAACTATGAATTTTTGTGATACCAAAGCACTAATTACCTGTAATGAAAAAAACTATTAAATTCACAAATTGGTTTATCTAAAAAATAATACAGTTAAACTTCGTTGGCTCGAACTCGGATCGCTCGAATACCTCCCTTCGCTCGAACTCATCGCCCAGTCCCAGGCAAAATTCCTATATAATATATATTGTTCTGCCTCGGATCGCTCGAACACCGATCGCTCGAACTCTCGAACCTGATCTCTGGTCCCATCGGCAGATATATAGTGAAAATCACACCTTTTCGGTATATATATAGCTATATGTATTTGTCATCCTTTATATTCTCTATACTGAATGTTAACAAAAGTTACAAAACAACACAAATTATTCTATCAAGCTTATGACATCATTCTATCAAGTAGGTGATTTTTTTCCCCATTTATTTTACAGACGAATAAAGGCTGTCTTCCCAAGCCTAAAATAGGTATATTTTTTACTGATTGAAATTCCCAGTGTACATTCTTCACCAGTACCAACTGACTTATATCAGCTAGTTGATATTGTAAAATGACTGAAAGACAGTAAGCTGTCCCTATAGTGTACCAGGCATGTTAAATTCAATTCTCAGTTGTTGGAATTTGATTTCAGGTTTTCCCCCTTTTCTGATTTATTGTGCTATACGAGGGTTGTCCCAAAAGTCTGTGACAAATTTTATAGCCGGTTCATTTTTAACCCCAATAGAAAATAATTCACACATATAACCGTTAAGTTTATTATTTAACATTACAACAAATCATTTACAAAAAATTTACCCTTGTTACTTAGAAATTTTCAGTATTAACGACATTGGTTTGAGTTGCTGGCGCACGTCAAATAATTTACATTTTGTTATGAATAGGCTGAAATTAATTACATATATTTCAAATATCTGATGATGTGTCTGAACAATGTCACGTTGACTTCCTCTGCTGCTATGTTTAAATCATCTCTGAAAATTTTAGTTAAAAAACTTAAAAAACGAAAAAGATACGAATAAATGAAAATATCTCATATAAAATAGGAAAGTTAAAATGGCAACGTCCGAAGAGTTTGCGGCGCAGTGAACATGTCACTCAGGTGTCATGACTATTTCGAGATGACACATGTAACGATTTTCCAAAAATATTCAAAATATAACATTTTAGCAACATATTCTGAGCATTTGTGTACAAAAGGCATGAACGGAACCAGAGTTTTGCGCTACAAAAAGTGAAAATAAGGAAAACATGGATAGGAAGACCGATCTTCGTCGCCTATTTCCTACAGCTAAAAGCAGTAGTAACGAGACCAGAAGTTCACGTATAGCAAAAATTAATGTATGTCATCCAAACATTCAACAGACATAAACAACCACATGTTTTAAGTCAGAAATTGACAATTTATGGGTACCATTATTGCGTTGAAAGCCATTGAGATTATTTGAGAAAGGCGCCTTATATAGATTTAACGCTGTCTTTGACGTTGGACGTGCGCCGCGATTCAGTTAGTTGCCATGGTGTTTATGGCATATTTTTGTTGTTTGTTGATATTTATCTATGAAAATTTGTGAAAAAGTTTAATTATATGGGTTTATAACATATTAAAATATCAAATTCGTACCTGTTTTATATAGCTTTTAAACAATCTTGTCACAGAATATTGGGACAACCCTCGTATATTTCCTTTCAGAAAGTCCCTCCCAGGATATGGAATCCACAGCAGTGCAGGGCAAGTTGTTCGAAGACAACCATCTTAACCAGTCGGCCACTGACACCCCTATATTTACAGATGATAGAGATCTAGGATTTATAATCAGAGTGTACATGAAAGTAGCTCACCTTAATTGTAACACTGATTTTACTCATAACAAGTAAGGAGCAGTCTCTCTGCCATTCAGGGACCATGTGACCACCTAAAGTACACATGTACTGTTTCACCATCTTCTTCACAGCTGCATCAAGACAGGAGGCTGTCAGAACCATAGGCTCGTAAACGATCCTGACAAAATATACAATATTACAAATGTATAGATCTATAAAAACAGCACAATTTTATTTGTACTTGTAGCTGAATGGTGCCAATACTTATCAAACAGTATATTTTCATTGATTTTACATTTCTAATTTATGACTGATAAAAAACTCTCTGTTTATTTGCTATGATAATTGACTTTTTACTCAAGTGTAATTATACAAACTTACATAAACCCTGACTTTGGAGAGCCAAAGTAGATAGAGTCACCATCTTTTAGTATTCTCTCCCCTTCCACTCTTTCACCATTAACCCATGTTCCAAACTTAGATATGTCCTTCAATTTTAGGATTGGTAATCTATTTATATTGGCCTGAAATACCAAACAGATTTTAGAATTCATTAGCAGAAAAAATCTAGATTCTAGACTCTTCATAGTGCATAAGTTTTTACTCTTTTTGTACAAAAAAAAACACTACCTTATACAACAACATTAATGTTTTATAATAATACTCAACATAATTATATTTAACATATAATTCTTTCATACTTATTGGATAGTGTGGCAGACTTATACAACTTATAACAATGTTGAGAAGGATGTAATTTCTAGATATCTTTGCCGTGGATGAACAACATGGTGGAAGTCTTACTGACTAGATTCTAGTCAGATGACCAGATGAAGATATATGTTTTTTTCCATACATAATAACATTGACTGTGATAAACTACTAAGAGGACAATAGCCTAGCCAATCAAGTCTGAGAGGGAAGGTTGGAGCCTTTCTGAGGTCACCATGATGTTTCTATTATTTTTGCAATATTATTGGTTAGGCAGAACAATGATCAGTTGAAGGAATTTGGTTCAAGTTTTACAATAAAGCAAAAGTTGACCCTGAACATGCTAATATTTTAAATGGACTTACCCCTATAACAATCTGAACAAAACCATTCATCTTTTTTAGGGAAAATTGCAAAATATGGACTGAACAGTGCAGACCATGATCAGATGAGACACGTGTTCAAGCTGTTCTTGGTCTGTACTGTAGCACAAGTAGATTCAGTCGCCGCCAGCAGGCTAAAGGTCAAACTAATTATACAAGTCAACACTATACTTACTAGGTTAGCCTCAGAATGCGATACGGTGAGCTCAGCATGTTTACGACTGACTGTCTGGTCGCCAGGCAACAAGATATCACAATCTCGTCGGCCAACAATATATACTTTACCACCTAGTATCACACACTTCTGATCTGAAATATCAAGATTGCAGATGTGAGATCATTTTTAAGAAAAAAGGGGTTTTATAATAGGGCTACTGATCTGAGACTTATTTTTACCAGAGACAAGAATACCATGAAGACTAGAAGTGTGATCTGTTTTTCATGTAGTTAAATTCATGAGACATCAGATAATGTAACTTTGACATAATTTTGATAGGTCTGTCTAGTCGTGCTTGTTGTTTTATCCAAGTATGAATCATTTCAATACATAAATAACATCAAGGAATTAAGAAAATAAAAGCAAAATTCAATTAATGACCTTGGCGACAAGATAATTAAAAGGTCAAGGTCATATCTAAATAATTCAACATGTCCGTTTGGTCACAAGTGCTGTGCGGAACAGTTTTAAATTGATTCTAAATATTACCTGAGTTTTTTTATGAAAAGATATGACAATTGTTTCAGGGCTACAGATAACATTTTGTGTATATTGGATAGTTACCCCTTGTTTTGTGATCTATTGGGTTTTTTCTGTATTTTTTACCCTACCCCCTCTAACCAATTTGGGTTATAAAGCACGAGTTCATGTATTTTACCCAAAATTTCTGACCTACATTGTAGACTGTTGTAGGTTCTGTATGGTTTTAAAAAGCTACTTACTACTTTGCTTTATGGTTTATTGGCCTAGAAGATTTCCAAGCTGCCTGATATAATTCAAAGGTTAAAACAGTCTGAAACAGTATGATCTGCCTGATATACACGTTAAGTACTAATTTACGTCATTACGCACCAGTTCAAATGTAGTTTGCATAAATAAGAATTCATTTACTTTGTCTTACCCTTAGTTATTATTTCTATTGGGTTTTTAGACATTTTAATTGGGTAATAACGCAAATACGCATGTTATCTGCAGCCCTATTGTTTGTATGTTAGTTGTACTCAACAAATAATTTTTCTGATCTGATCGAATATGGGACGGTGTTAGCTGAAAATAGTTCCATTTTCGGATATGTATTGTGATCATTTTGAGTACAACAAAATATGAACAAAATGGCATATCTTATCGTAAAAAAACAAGGATAATTCTAAAAATCTAAGGATTTTATCAGTATGATCAGTTAAACGTTATTTCTGTTATTACGTCCTTATTAAAACAGTTAGCATTTTTTCTAACCGTTACCGTTAGGGGTAACTGTAACAATATCTCTACCCTTTCTTCCTCAGCAAAAAATCTGTTTCAGTTAGACTCTTTTACTCCTTATTTGGTAAAAATCACAGGTGCTTGAAACAAACTTTTTTTTGTTTTATATGGGCTATATACTATAGAGCAGTTGTTTTTTCCCCTACTTTGGGAATGGTGTCGGTACCAGACAGATTGGGAAAAAAATCCATCGGTTTGACTCAAATTGGGAATTTTACATAAGAAAATTAAGATGCAAAATATTCTTTGAGAATTCTTTTATCCAGGGAGACATGAAAATTATACATAATAAACACTTAAAAACCATGCATTATTAACTTTAATGATTATTTTTTCTTCTTGAGGTTGAAAAAAATTGATAATCATAACATAAATAATGATACATACATAAATAATGTTAAGGTGTGAAACACTAAAAGTAAAACTAAATTTAATTAAGAAATTAAATAGGTACAAATATCACTCATGTGGTTATACTTAGTTTTTATCACATATCACTTATCAATGGCATTTCTGTTTTGTTTACCTTTAAATTTGCTGATTTTTTAGGAAATATTTAGTGTTATTTGATTTTTGAGGAAATATTCAGTGTTATTTGATTTTTGAGGAAATATTCAGTGTTATTTGATTTTTGAGGAAATATTCAGTGTTATTTGATTTTTGAGGAAATATTCAGTGTTATTTGATTTTTGAGGAAATATTCAGTGTTATTTGAATTTTGAGGAAATATCCAGTGTTATTTGATTTTTGAGGAAATATTCAGTGTTATTTGATTTTTGAGGAAATTTTCAGTGTTATTTTTGGAATTTATCAGTCATGAATTGGGAAATTTATTGTCTGATTTCTATTGGGAACAGTGCCGTTTTCCGGTATCAGTTATATAAGGGAACTAGAAATGTGTCATCATGCCACGGATGCCCCCGCATGCAGCCAAAATTTCAGATGGTGCATTAATTATTTTTTTCATTTTAAGTTCAAAGCCCTTAAAACTTTTCAATCCCAAACCAAAATCGCAAGCTAACATTGCAAGCTTGTCACAAGCTTGCTGCAAGCTTAAGTTGCAAGCTTGCTACTGGCTAGTAATTGGAACCTTGCGGCAAGCTTGCGATCAGTTATTTAAAAAAAATCTGACTGCAAACTAGTTAATATTTAAGCTTGCGCAAGCTTAATCGCAAGCTTGCGCAAGCTTAATCGCAAGCTTGCGCAAGCTTAATCGCAAGCTTGCGCAAGCTTAATCGTAAGCTTGCGCAAGCTTATTTGCAAGCTTGCGCAGGTTTATCTGCAAGCCTGCACAGGCTAAGTCGCAAGCTTGTGCATGTATAACTACAAGCTTAATGTATAAGCTTGCGCAAGCTTAATGTATAAGCTTGCGCAAGCTTAATCGCAGGCTTGCAAAAACTGTAAACCCTATTTGGAAAGGGAGCTGCTACGTATAACAGTCTCTGAATCCTATATAGCATGAAAAAAAAAAAGGCATTAATTACCATGATAAACTTATTTAATCATAAATTGTAAAAAGAAGCTGATGTTAAATTTTTCCTATACTAATGTTTTCTTCCAATTACCATGGTAAATAGTCCAGCCTTGATGGAATGACATTGAAAAAATCCAGCCTAATTCCAGCATCCCTGAATGTTCTTAAAATGTAAAATTCTGGGATGGAATTCAGCACAGGAATGTTTGGGGTAGAATTTTTATGAGTTGAACATGATCACATATTTCTTTCACAAAATTTAATACATATCCTTTAGTCCAAATACAGAATAGAACAGCCTGCATTCACTATAACACAAACAGTTTTTTTCTAGCTGCAGGTTTTGGTAGGTTCTTGTTTTCTTAGAATCCAACACTTTGTTTTAAGCAATTATTTTGCTCTTAGTCTGTCAGTGACAAACTATTCAATCTTAAATTTGTTTTAAATGTTTCTGATTATTTAAATTACTATTTCTTTTATCGGTGTCCATTTTTAGTCCTCTGCCAGTGTTTCCTAGAACTTCTTATGGTTGTGCTGACCTTTAAAGATAAAATTCATAATTAATTAAATACAGATGCAGTAATGAACTATGTTTTATTGCATAAATGCAGTTATATTACATATCTTTTAATAACATCGAATCTAATGTTTCAACAGTATTAACTATTAAATATTAACTATGCTTATGCATTTTCAAAAAATACTAAAGCAATGCAGTATATCTTATTTCAATGTGCACAAATGTTTAAGAATTTCTCTGTATGAGAATTAAGTAAATTTGTGACAATATTTATTACCCAGTATGTATTTTTTCAAGAAAAGATGTGGAATAGAAAAGTATTGAGATTTAATAATATACCTTTTCAGGATTAATACTGCACATCATTATTAAACACTGCCGCTATTTCTCACAGTCAGCACTTATGTCCCAGCCTGCAAATTATTTATGTATAATGTAATTTTAGATTGTTCCATTGAAAACACAACACATACATGTAAAATAACAAATGATTATGATTGACCCTGTTCAGCTGTACAACTTAACTACTGATTGTACCATTTAGTCCTATTTAATCAAATTGATTTAATTTGTTTAATTTGCAGGAAATGAAAAAGATCTACTAACATGCCATTTAAACAATATAAACAATCATTAAAAAGAAATCATTGAATAATTTATATTTTACAGATTATACATGTATAGATTAAAAAGAATTATCAGAAAAACAAATGCATGAAGTTGAAAATATAAAAACAACCTTGATCTCTTGTTACAAATGTTAATAATTTGATATATAACCTGTTTCTGCATTAATGTAACTTAAGGTTTATAAATACCTGATTCTGTTGTATATCTCCTTGTCCCAGGTGATTCTGATTGTTATCATACCAATACTTAAACACTTTAAATGTTAAACAAAACAATATCTCCAAAACTGCTAAAATATCAAGTACATCCTCTGCTCTCTTTGCTGACCCAGATATCTTAGAATTCAAATTTTACAACAGTTACTGTAAAACTGGACAGGTCTATCATTATGTAAAGCAGGGTTAATCTACTCATCATTTTAACTTTCATTCTTTGAGCGTAAAAGAAAATATCAAATAGCTAATAGATATATAGATTTTAAAAATCATTACAAATTTTTGTACAAAAAGATTGCAATGTCCTTCTAGACACATTCTGCATATGAAATTTATAATGTTATCTCTCCCCAAAATAATCACATGGAACAGCCTGATCTGTCGGAATGACCAGGGAGTAAATTAGTCATGCACAGATGGTCAATGAATTTTATCAAGGCTCTGATGTGTGTAGCGTAAAATCTCAGTGGATGTAGTATTTATTTTCCTAAATAAAAGCAATATATATTGATTAATTTAATATAGAATATATATGAGATTATTTCATGCACTGTTTTTGTTTTGTTTATTTATTTATTGTTATCCAAAAACATGAATTCTTAGAATTTAACAAGAGCTGTCCGTAAGACAGCGCGCTCGACTTTTTTATTGCTTGCCAATAAAAAAAGTTTTTGCAGTAAAAGGCAATACAAGAATCTCTGTATTTTTAAAGTGAACAATGGCCATGAGCATTAAGATATTTAGTGAAGAATTATTTTATTATGACATAATTTATGGTAAAGTGAACAAGTGGATAGGAATGAATTTTTTTAGATTTTTTAAGTTTTTTAGTGCTTGCCTATAATACAAAACATTGACAGTTAAGGGCCATAATTCAAATAAAATCTTTGACAGAATTACCTTCTCCTGGACATGTTTGGGAATCATGATTGTAAACAAGTATTCCAACTTTCAAATTAATATCTCAAACAGTTCAGTCAAAAAGTGGACTGGTACTAAAAACTTAACCAAGATTCTAAGTCGATAAAAGGCCTTAATTTTTAAAAACAAATCCTTGACAGAGTTACCTTCTCTTGCGTACAGATGGGGGTAATGATGTGAAATAGCATTAAAAGTTTCAAAGCAATATCTCAAAGGGTTAAGGCAATAAGTGGATTTTACCCATATTCAATGTATTTTCTAAGTCAAAAAGGGGCATAATTCTGTCAAAAACCTTGACAGAGTTATGTCCTCTTGTCTGTTGATGAAGGTCGTGATGGTAAACAAGTATGGTCAGTTTCAAAGCAATACCTCCAATGGTTTTGAAATAAAGTGAGGTGGTACAAAAAACTTAACCAAGCTCAATACACTTTCTAAGTCAAAAAAGGGCCATAATTCTGTCAAAAACCTTGACAGAGTTATGTACTCTTGTCTGTAGATGGAGGTTATGATGGTGAACAAGTATGGTAAGTTTCAAAGCCATACTTGTAATACTTCTGAAATAAAGTGGGGTGGTACGAAAAACTTAACCAAGGTGTGACGCCGACGCCGACGCCGGGGCGAGTAGGATAGCTCCCCCTTTCATAGAAAAGTCGAGCTAAAAATGGCAAGCAATGCAATCCCATCTTGATTATTATAGTGTCTGAATGATTGAATCACAGACTTTAATTAATTTATAGTTAAACTTAAAGCCTGTAATTAAATGGATATTATTTCATTGTACATAACTTCATGTAGATTTATCGAAATAATAATATGTATTTAACAATCAATTCATTTACTTCTTTTGCACAGACATTTTTTCTGAGATGACCCTTTTCCAACTACATGAAATGTATAAAGTGTCAAATTTCAAATCATTTACAGTAACTTGCATTAAAATAGATGATGATTTTATATTTTTTTCGTAAATTTACAATACTGAGCTGAATATATAAAATAACTAATAACTAATAATAAACTTTAGCGTGGTAATCTAGTTTAAACTAGTTAATTATCACTGATACTATCATTTTTGGATATTTTTTTTAATGTGTACACTTTTGACAAAAATTTTCTAAGTGTTTCAATTACTTTAACAAGAAATTTCTAAGTGTAGATTTGTACAAAAATTTTCTAAGTGTCTAATAATTGCAAGCTTGCGGCATTGCAAGCTTACATCAAATGTTTGCAAGCTTGCATGAATTTTAAACAAGCTTGCAATATATTTCAAAAGTCATCGCAAGCTTGCGCAAGCTTGTTGCAAGCATGCAGCAACCTTGTATTTAAGCTGTAAGCTTGCGGCAAGCTTGTGACAAGCTTGCGGCAAGCTTGTCGCAGGCATGCATTTTGGTTTGGGATATGTTAACACAAACCATTTTCATACAATGTTCAAGACACTGAAATTATTCAGTCTTAACCTTTTAAAAATAGCATATTGCATATTTGTAGCCAAAATAATGGCTAAAAGTATGAGTGCTGAAACTGAAAGTTCAAAATTTTTCCAACATTCAGGAAAGATAAGTTTGTCTAAAATCATTGAACCATGACCAAATTCAAACTTAAACTGCTTATTCCTAAGATGTATCAATATTATTTTCAAAGTGAAAGGGACAGAACTCTGCCAAAAAATCATCAAACCATGACCAAATTCCAACTTGACCTGCCAATCCCTTTGACAATTCCATATGTCAAATTTAAGTTGAATATATGTAACACTGTTGGGTAGATAATGAACAGAAACTGTAAATTTCATATTATTTTCAAAGTGAAAGGGGCATAACTCTGCCAAAAATCATTGAACCATGACCAAATTCGAACTTGGCCTTGGCATTCCTTTGACGCATCCATATGTCAAGTTTGAGTTGAATGTGTTGTACCTTTGGGGAGATAATGAACGGAAACTGAAAATTTCATATTATTTTCAAAGTAAAAGGGGCATAACTCTGCCAAAAATCATCGAACCATGACCAAATATGAACTTGACCTGTATTTTCTCATGACATATCCATATGTCAAGTTTGAGTTGAATGTGTTGTACTGTTGGGGAGATAATGAACTGAAACTGAAAATTTCATATTATTTTCAAAGTAAAGGGGCATAACTCTGCCAAAAAATCATCAAACCATGACCTGTATTTTCTCATGACATATCAATATGTCAAGTTTGAGTTGAATGCGTGCGTTGTACCGTTGGGGAGATAATTAACGGAAACTGAAATTTCATATTATTTTCAAAGTAAAAGGGGCATAACTCTGCCAAAAATCATCGAACCATGACCAAATTCGAGCTTGACTTGTATTTTCTCATGACATATCCATATGTCAAATTTGAGTTGAAAGTTGTTTTAAGCACCTGAGGTAAAAAGTATATATTTCTAATTTATATCCTGTTATTGTGGGGCCCTTGAAAGACTAAACTTGGTTGGACAATTTTTATAAAACATTTTGGTACAGTATTTTTTAGCCTGATACCCAGAAAAATATCTTTTTAAGACAATTGAATAGAAAGGAAGAAAGATCGTAACCGTAAGCAAAACAAAAAATATTTTCCGTTTGTATATACTGACCTTCACCCTCTATGTGAAGCGGGTGCTTTCTCGTATTATCGTGGAATTTGATTGGTTGTTAAGGCTGGTCACTGATGTGATGATTTTATTCTACACACCAGTTCAAATAATTAGTGCAACTCCTAATGAGGTTAAATTGCTTAGCATCGCTTCCATCAGTTTTAAAATAAATATTCCATGATAATACAAGAAACCACGATAATTTAATATGAGAAACAGGGATAATTTGATTTGGTCCAAAATGCACATTTGAATGTCATTTGCAGTGTTGCATCTAGGCCGCGCGATTGCGCGATTTGCGCCTTTTTTTATGCAGATTGCGCATTTTAATGAAGTCAGCTAAGTTGCGCATCTGATGATCTTTTCAACTTAATTCAGTTTATCTTCATCATATCTTGAACGCTTCAGCCATGTTTGTTTTCACTCGTGGTTATGACTAAAATACGTACTAAATCGCTTAATCGCATGTAGCAGCCAACTGAGTCATCTCACGTGTGTTTTGTAGTATTCGTCAATATTTTATTTTTTTTACTTCCGTTTTTGAGCGGACGATAGCTGTCAAAAATGCCTGAATGTAAAAAAAATGACTTCTTTTCGGTATGTCATATTGTAAGGTAAATGTATGTCACCCACATTTTTTTCAAATCCCCCACATTTTTCAATTGAGTGGTGGACAATCCCCCATAATTTTGAAATTCTAGATGCAACACTGCATTTGACAGAAGTCTCCAATGTATGATCCGAAATGTTCAATGCGTGGTCCGAAATGTCCAAATATCTGGTCCGAAGTGTCCTAAGTTAACACCTTGTCCGAAGTGTCTGGTCCGAAATGTCCATGGTCCGAAATGTCCAATTATCCGATATATTCGATACTTGTCTACTTTTTGCACCCAAAAATCTTGGAAAAATAATCAATCAATACAACTTGTTCAATTTCAATACCAGGATTGTTACTGGATATCAGGAAAAACATGTCAATCTGTCTCAAATTATTTTTGCATCTTCTTTTCAACTTCCCGCAAAGTTTTTTTTAAGAGTAACTTCCCTTTAATTCATTTGGAATGCATCTGTTTTGATCACTAATCAACACGGATTAAACTGAAAATGAATTTAAGGTATGTTTTTCACAAATATTGTTTCAATACGCTCTTTATTCAACATTTTATCAAGCATACTTGTTACTTCTAAGTGTAATTATGTCACAGCTTGAATAATTGATATGATAATTGAAAGAACGCAAATTCTTTAAAAAAAATTAAATTGACAAAAAAATGTGCACCTGTTGAACTATATTAACTTTTAATTAAAATGCATAAAAACACTAAATCCTTCAAATATATTGAACAATCCCATCTAATTGTGAAAATATGGATATATTTTTAATATAAGGAAGAATTAATTATTTATAGATTCAACAATTATCTTTAGAGAGCTAAATATTAGCTTGATTTTAATTGTTAATCTATTTATAGATACATGTAGGTCTATATTTATATGCTTATTGTATTTATTTATATATTCATTAATTTATTTGAAAAGAAAACCATTTTTAACCATAAGAAATAATCATACAACCAAAGACGTTAAAAAAACAGTGATGAAAATTGAGATAATGATGGCATGATCATGGCAGTTTGAATATTTTCCCCTCAGTGTCTGTAATTCACAGTAATGAAAAATTATTTCTTTGAAATAAATAAGTCCTTTGTTAGGATTGATGCAGAGTATTCCAGCTGTCAGTGTGTCAGGGCTCTCGGCTCTCTTTCTGTTTTTTGGGAACATTACTGTGTACAGGGTCTTTCAGGGCTGCAGATAACATGCGTATTTGCGTTATTACCCAATTAAAATGTCTAAAACCCAATAGAAATAATAACTAAGGGTAAGACAAAGTAAATGAATTCTTACTTGTGCAAACTTCATATGAACTGGTGTGTAATTACGTAAATTATTACTAACGCGTACATCAGGCAGATCATACTGTTTCAGACTGTTTTAACCTTTTTAAATTATATTAGGCAGCTTGGAAAATCTCCTAGGCCAATAAAACCATATAAAGGCAAAGTAGTAAGTAGCTTTTTTATAACCATACAAAACCTACAACAGTCTACAATGTAGGTCAGAAATTTTGGGTAAAATATATGAACTTGTGCTTTATAACCAAAATTGGTTTGAGGGGGTAGGGAAAAAAATACAGAAATAACTCCAAAGAAAATAGAAAAAACCCAATAGATCACAAAACAAGGGGTAATTACTCAATACACACAAAATGTTATCTGTAGCCCTGGTCTTTAGACAAGAATTTTCATGCTGATTTCCCTATAGAAGGGGGATTTTAGGCAATTTTTTGCACATTATATATTGACAATACTCCTGTTGAAAATAATAATTTATTTTTGCAAAAAGCCATTTGATTTATTTGTTAAGGTCTCTCTTTTTGGCAGAGAAAGTGAGGTAAAATTAAAAAATATATATACACTCTATATAATTATGTTTTTTTATCCTTTGAGGAGTAGAAAATTATTATCAGGGCAAGAATATCACAATGATTTTATTTCACGGGCGCTCGATACCGTGTGGTTAAGGTAATTGACTTCAAACTACTAACATAGACTCATTGCTGTATATAGTTTTGATCCATGGCAGCAGCTTCGAATTCTTTCATGTGAGACAGTTTGCTGATGTAACAGCATTAGTTCTACTTGGGTTAGTTCTACTTGGGTGTCAGTTTGTGCCTAAAATAATGCACAAATATGCACATGAGGTCCTCCTCCACCAGTAAAGCTGGAAAATCGCCATATGACCTACATGAAAATACTGTGTTGGTCTGAAACCCATCATGGACATTGACTTTCTAAAATTCAGAGGTTGCTTTGCAAAATAATTATTGCTAAGTTATGGGCAGACAGTATGTAGAATTTATTGTAAGTATAATAGATCAACAAGCTGATGTTCACAGAACGCAGTTCATGACTTACACTTATGTACATGTAACCCAGGTGCTAACGTCATATATATCTTCTGTATAAGCACATAGTTATATTTAAATGGAGAGGAAAATATGATTTAATACACTTAAATCTGTATCAGGGATTTATTATACCACATGTGTACATTTTCATGAGATTTTCAGAAACAATATTTTACACAAGAAAATTTATCAATATGTGCATGACTGTATGCCACCATTTATCTAAAAAAAATTGACAGTAATCAAAAGAAGTGACAGAAAAGAAGTTGCAAATATGTATCAAAAAAAAAATTATTAAAGATTAAGAAAATAGGTAAATTATTCTCTGTAATGGATGTTAAAGTAATCAGCTACTGGGTTACAGCTAGGGTTACGGAAAACAAGATGGCAGATATTGATCAACTCCAAGGGCCAATGAATCTCCCACCAGATTGCGAGCAGGACAGAGAAATTTTCTGTTTTAGAGCTTCTTATCCCTCTATAAATATAAGGAACCACAATTTTTTTTGTTGATTCCTAGTGATCAGGTATTACAAATGTTTAACAATTTTAACACATTTAGAACTGCTCCTAGACCTATTAGCATTAAAACAAAGTGTGCAAAAAGTTGCTGAAGTTATTTTAAAGAATATGTTACACTTAGTAGTAATTGGGTCATTTGAAGTGTTGAATGGTTATTATGAATCTGAATGAAATACATACATACTGACACTGTTTAATGGAACCTAATGCCACTTATTAAACTCAAGAGCAAGAAATGTCAGTTTGAATTACCGGTAGCACATGTATGAAAGGAATAAACAAATGTATTATGTTACAAATGTTCATGTACCATCAGAGCTTGTTTCTTTCTTGTTATGAGTTGTTAACAACATTATTAAAGCAACATGCCTGCAGATTCATGCTTACTTTCATGCTAACTTTTAAAAAGTATTATTAAAAGGTAAAATATCAAGTGAAGAAAGAATATAGTTAACACATTGCAAACAACATTAAAATCTATGAAAAATTTACCTTTCTTGAGATACATGTTTTTTGGCTAGTCTGGAGGCATGCAGATTTAACAGATCATGTCAGTTGAGTTGTGCATAAGTATGATACTGTGTTTGATAATACTCATTTGTCTAACGAAATTACAGCTAGCTAGAAGCTAAAGAGTCATTACACATTAAAGTTGATTTGTAACACTTTAATTATTACCCAGCTGGCAGCAACATAAATAAACTCTTTAAAAATCTTCCTATATGCAACTAGACTGCAAACCAAGATAGCTGAGTCTAATTGTGGTTGGCACTGGTCATACGATACATGTATACCTGTACTATGTATATTTTGAGATTTTCCCACAATATAAGGTATGGTTTTGCCCAGATTGAAGGATCGGAACATTGGTCCATTTTTAGCTCGACTTTTCTATGAAAAGGGGAGCTATCCTACTCGCCCCGGCGTCGGCGTCGGCGTTAGCGTCGGCGTTGGCGTCACACCTTGGTTAAGTTTTTCGTACCACCCCACTTTATTTCAGAAGTATTACAAGTATGGCTTTGAAACTTACCATACTTGTTCACCATCATAACCTCCATCTACAGACAGGAGTACATAACTCTGTCAAGGTTTTTGACAGAATTATGGCCCTTTTTGACTTAGAAAGTGTATTGAGCTTGGTTAAGTTTTTTGTACCACCTCACTTTATTTCAAAAACCATTGGAGGTATTGCTTTGAAACTGACCATACTTGTTTACCATCACGACCTTCATCAACAGACAAGAGGACATAACTCTGTCAAGGTTTTTGACAGAATTATGCCCCTTTTTGACTTAGAAAATACATTGAATATGGGTAAAATCCACTTATTGCCTTAACCCTTTGAGATATTGCTTTGAAACTTTTAATGCTATTTCACATCATTACCCCCATCTGTACGCAAGAGAAGGTAACTCTGTCAGGGATTTGTTTTAAAAATTAAGGCCTTTTATCGACTTAGAATCTTGGTTAACTTTTTTGTACCAGTCAACTTTTTGACTGAACTGGTTGAGATATTAAATTGAAAGTTGGAATACTTGTTTACCATCATGGTCCCAAAAACATGGGCAGGAGAAGGTAATTCTGTTAAGGATTTTATTTGAATTATGGCCCTTTTTGACTTAGAAACTCAGTTAAAATTTTCATTCTTGTCCACTTGTTGACTTAACCATTTGAGATATTACTTTGGAAGTTGGAGTTCTTATGTGCCATCATGAGACCTATCTGTAAGCAAGAGAAGATAACTCTGTGAAAATGTTTCTTGATTTGTACTTAGAAATTCCTAGTTAAAGTCTTGTGTGCCCTTAACTGTCAAAGTTTTGTTTTATAGGCAAGCACTAAAAAAGTCGAGCGCGCTGTCCTTCTGACAGCTCTTGTTATTATCTAGCATCAAGGGTTAAAGCAGTTCTTGTTTCTGTCATAATACAAGTTGTTAACATGACATTGTTTCAATTGATTGATAAGTCATTGATAGAATCTGATAATCATTTCAACATTGCTATCTTGTCTGTATCTATATTTCCCATCACTTTATCTGCAAGTAATCCATGTGATTACACTGACACATATAAAAGCAGACAATTCAATTACCATGAAATACAGCAAGTCACAGAGTGTGCTATATTTATTATACTTGCGGTATAACAATGTTATTGAACCTTTTCTCTGGGTGCTTTATTTTCTGGTTATTAACCTCTCGTTTTTATTGACAGATTTCTATTTAGACTAATCTCCATAATAAGCAGGTTGTTGAGGGAATTACGGGAGACATGACCAATTTATCCTTCCATTGTAGTCATTAATAATAATTATCAATTTATATTCAGTATTGGAAAAATAAAGCATAGCCACTATCAAAGAGGCCAGCTGAGTGATTATTTAGTGTACTTATGCTGAAAAAATGGGTTTTCTTAATCGGGACATTCTATTACTATTTGAAACTTGTTGGATACTATTACTTTTTAAAATAAAATGGCTATGATAAAAAGGTTTTTTTATAATTTCAATAAGGATTCAATATGTGTAAATAGTTTTTGTGTACTGTGCAAGAATTTAGTGTTCAGGGGAGGTTACAATAATTATTTATATTTAAAGAAAAATATTTTCTGAAATATTAACACTGTCATTTGAAATTAATTTGAGATTTTTTTCACTAACATGCAGACATAATAATGTTATGTATTGTACATCATGACTATGTCTTATATGGAATGGAAAATCAATAAGTTGTAAGGTTGTCTGAATAATGGATTCACCTTGTTTTTCATAATAGTTTGACATTCTATTTTTCCAGGGAAAATGCAATAAAAATGAGATTTATTTATAAAAACGAGACATAATATTCATATGGAAAGATGAGAGATCAAACAATTTAGAATGTCAGGGAGATACTGAGGTTTCTGTTTCATGCCTAAGTACAAGGATATTATTCAGTTTGTCTATTTTTAAGATAATGGTATCTCTTTATAAAAAAAAAAAAAAAAAAATCAATATATTTTGTATAAAGATGTAGTTGTATTATTCACTTTACATTTATTATATTATTATATTTATTACAAATGTATTACCTATATTATTCTGCTGTGTTGCACTTGACAGTAAATTTGGATCTATATCAACCAAGTGCAAAATGTAAGATATTCATTTATAATTGTTTCACTGTCAACAAAATGGTCCATTAAGAGTAATTGCCAAAGTGGGAGTTTCTGATTTTATCGTTAAAAGTTATTAACCATATGACACTTATACATTCAATTACTTAGAAAGCCTTTAAGGTCTAGAATGTTAAGAAGTCTATTTTTACACTATTTTATTATGTCGTAGTTATAATATAACATATCTATGTTCTTAGTTTGATAAATTTGAATATCTGGGAATCTTAAGAAGTGTGGAAATACTGATATATGGAACACCTTTGCAGCCAGAATTCATAAGTGTGGCGATTAGCATTGTTGATATTTTGGTTAACTTACTAAGATTAAGCAGTCAAAGGTATGGAAAATTTCTTAGATCAGTAACATAGTTCAACCTGTATCAGTATAAATAATATATGTTATTTATCCTTACCATGCTAAATATCTTAAATGGGCTCGTCCATCTTTCAATCTCAAGAAGACCTAATGGGCCTTTTAACATGCTAATCCACTTAAGTTTTACAGCGTAAAACATTTGTATACATTTATTTAAAATTTCATCAAGGAAAGGACCTTATGTCATTATTATAAGAGTAAAGACTAGTGTTAAAGTGACACGTCAGCCAAAATATTTAATGGTGGAGATTCCTTCATTGTATTGTGCTATGCAATCTGAAGTACTTTAATTATACTGCACCTTACTAATATATAATAGTTAAAGTTCAACAAGGAAAGAAATCATATTGTTTAAAAACAAAGATTCTAGTAAAATGTACAGAAACATTTGGCAGTAACTGTAAACTTGTAAAATATTCCTTGCAGTTATATGCCACTTAATTTTAGTGGTCCTATAAAATCTGCTGGAATTCTACTTAAATTGGTCAAAGGGTCAGGGAGGGGCCGGTGTCAACAGTAGATTACAGATATTAAACATTGCTGTCCGTGAACAGTACAAGCGGATGACAATCTTTTCAATTTTGTTGTGTTGGCGCACACGTACCTTTGATGTGTCAACTTTTACTGATTTTTCATATTTACTTAAAAGATAATTTTTTCTTTTAAGTTCCATTTATAGCCAAGTGATGCTTATTTGCCAGTTCACAACTTTTAATGTTGGTGCTAACCAAAACTTCACACTTCAAGCTGAGGAAATAAATTTCATGAATATATAAAAGACAAGGTCATTTTTCCAGTGTCATGTGTTCTGTTTATTAAATGATTTTCTTTGAATATTGTGGTTATGAAAGGGACATGTTATGTAACATTCAGTTAATATAATATAGGTGGGGGTTTGTCTTTGATACAGAAGGAGTAAATGTGGCTTTGCAACATTAATTTTTCTAGGTGCTCCAAAAATGGATATGAATACCTGGTTTTATAACTCACAAGCTGAGAAAGGTAAAATTGTAACTTTTATTATTTCTGTTGAATTATATGTATACATGTAGATATATATATATTTGCACTGTTCAAAGGAACTTAACTGTAGTTACTCAGCTAAATAGACTTACTCAGGAATTAACAATATTTGGTTTTTTTCCCAGCTTAAATTAAACATAGGTAACAAACAAAGCTTTGAAAATAAGCGAAACAGGTTGTTTAATGTATAATGTGACGGGTAGTGCACCATGAAGCTGTAAAGGTAAAAGTTAGTTTGTACCTACAGTACAGATTAGCTGGGAAAAACCCACTTTGCTGAATTCCCGGTAACATCTATTAAAGTAGCAACTTAATAGATAACGGATTCTACCTATGCAAGATCAGCCAGCACTTGAAATCTTTCCTGCCATTTGATATTGGTCTGCGAGAGTACTGTTTGCTTTTCAGACAATACATATTTGGATTTTCCTTGGCCATGATCAATATTTTAAATTGAAAGATTGACAAGTACATTTAGCTTTTAGGGTTAAATGAGTAAAGATATTATCAAGTGGACAAATTAAGTAATTCAATCTAGCCTTAGGCTCTTACTATCTACAGAAATTACCTAGAAATAATGCAGACATTTCTTTTACTCTACCCATGTAACACATGAACCAACTAGAATTTTTGTATCCTGACTAGCTTTACAGTTAACAGTTTCACCTGGTTTTGAATATTTAACCATTGTATACAATGTATATTAATCAATATACTTAAATTAAAAAAAAAATGAAAACTTAACTTCTAAGTCAAGAACATATTGTTTGTTAACCATTGGTCCATTTCGTTGCCTGCTGGCAGCAACTTAAATTTTATCAATGTGACCAGTGCAGACCAACACCAGTCTGCCTGTCTGCCTGTCTATGCCATCTGATCACAGTCTGCACTAGCTGTTTAGACTATTCAGTCAGTCCATATTTTGAAATATAATCCCTAAAAAATATTAATGGTTTTGTCCAGATTGAAAGATGCCAAGGTATTTTAAGATATTTAGCATAGTATTTAGGGTTAATTCATTTAGTAAATCTCATTTCTTGAATGATGAATTTGATAATAATGATAATATTGATATATCAGATGTTGTTGCCATAGTTACAAGTGATGTGTAGTACAATGCAATTAGAAATCTCTGTGAAACAACAGTCAACATGTCACCCACAGCCAAACATATAATGTTTATTTAATGCTATTGATGTTATTGTACATTTTGTAATTATATCTAATCACTTTTCATTGGACAATTATAAGTGAGGTCTATAATAATAACCAACGTTCACAGATGCTGCATTATTTTCACTTTGATAACTCATATTGAATGATAACTAATATTGTTTCCATACTAAAGTATACAGTATTAAGTTCAATAGTTAGTCTGTTAGAGCATTGGACTATAAATAGAGAAGTCCAGGTTAAATTCTTGGAAGGTGCAGTCTCACTTTCATTGTGATTGATCATGAAATCCTTTAGTAGTACAGTCATTCACACTGTACCTCTACCTGTGGTATGTACAGAAATTAAACCAGATGTGATAACCTGGAATATTGTTTTACTTCTTAATGCAGATACATTTGCCTAAAATGTATGTCTTGACCATACACCCCTTATTATGTGTAATAGATTTGTCCTACTGTGCAATTTAGTGGTTTAAGTGTATTTGAACAGTCAACAGATTATGGTGACAGTCATACTAAATAGTCCGACTATATTACTGGTACATTACAGGCAATTCATGTTAGTAAAATAAGGATGGGCCTATTTGTAGATATTTTCTATTTTATTAAGTACATTAATTATATAAAGCCATGTTTACTTTATATTTTCAACATTTTAGTCACACATGAAATTGTTTAGATGTGATGTAATGATATTACCGACAAGCATTATAAAATTGTAGTTAATGTGTGTAAAATTGTATTTAAATGTGTGTTATAAATGGAGAAATTATGTACAATTTGAATTTCATTGCCTCTATTTAAAGTAATGTAAAAAAATCAGTTTAAATGGCTAGGATAATATTATACTCTTAAAAATTGGTTATATATAAGTTAAGCTTTTGTATTTCAATACGAGTCATTTAAGAGTCATTATCATTGACAAACCAGTTACAAAATTCTATTTACAGTTTTGATAAAGTGTCAGTTTTAAGTAATGTGGTTTATTAGTGTTGTGAATCATTTTTAGCTTGTTTGTGATTCTGTCATTTTAACTTTAAACAACTACAGTGTATTATATATGATGTTCATTTCTGAAAGCCAGTAATTTGTGGAAAGTTTAAACTCCATATAAGATTACAACAATTTCTGAAGAGTTCATAAATTGTTTATGTACTTCTGACTAAATATAGAAACTGATTAATAATTTAGATTGATAATGGTAATAAAATATTGGACATGGTATGGATTACAGACCAGGTAAATGATGACTTGACAATTGGTTTAAACATTTTATTTAAGCTTGATTGCGGAACAAGTTCTTGCAACTTATATTAATCACTTTCGAGTCCGCTTCCTGGAACCAACCAGTACTGGTGTCATATGAAGATACATGGTCGTGACCCTATCAGGGCTCGAACCCATGATCCCTGGGTTGAGAGCCAGACACCTTAACCACTAGACCACCGCTTCCCTTGACAAGTTACTGTATTTGTAAATGCTTCACAACTCACGAGTCTAGGGATCATAGGTTTGATCCCTTTGTGGGTGAATATCATCACATGAGGGTCTTTCAAATTCTATATTGAAAGTGATCACAGATATTTGGAGGGTTGGAGTCATGAAGAGGTTAATAATGAATGAATCTTAGAGTTTATAAGACTGCATTGATGAGCAGTCAGACTGTAAATATAAATGTACATGTATATAAAAGTAATAATTTATATAATTATATGAGTCCCATTTATAGCATTTGTCTTGGATGAAATTCAAAATCTGTAGAAAGTAAAGAATTAAGTTCAAAAGACATAAAACATGAATGGTATAATTTATCTATCTTTGTCACTTATTTTTAAAATCATAAAAAATATCTTAAAAGATTAAAGTAAACATTATGATATCAAAGATTAAATACGATAAAGTATTAATTGTCCAACAACATAGACCTGGCACTCTTGCATTTGATCCTGTAGTCGGTATATTCCGTTAACGTTATGATCCACTTGTAAATCAATATGAGTGTAAATATCCTAAAATAAATGCTGTGAAATAAAAATCCTTCGTAGCGCAATTGGTGAATGGGTTTCAATTGAAGACTGTACACATAAACTGTTAGGTTCGAATCCTATTTCAGAGATTTTAATTTTCATTTTATTTTTTTAACTGCCATTTTCGTAAAACTATTTTGTTGTGTGTATGTGTAGCATCTATATGCTCTAAAGATTTACGATTGCATAATGTCACAAAGAGAACCGTTGAAAAATAAAAGCAATTGTATAATTAGAAACACCACTTAAAAAGTATTCTCAAACATGGACAGTAGTAAAACAATTTTTAATTGATTTAATTTTAAATTAATTCTGGCAAGTAAATAAAAAAAATCATAACGTATTGGTAAGGATTCGAACCAGAGACCTTCAGATAGGTAGTCCGACATCTATACCAATACACCACACCTCACTGATGAGTAAAATTAGCAAATATATCGATATATTCTATATTCGATAGATATTGGTGTTTGTTTATTCAAATGACCTTTACGAAAGATAATGAAGTGCCAGGTCAATATTGTTGGACAATAACAATATAACCTCTGTTCTAGAGTAATAATAAACTGAAAACAAAAGCAATCACTGGCTTACATGTGCATTCTTTGGTTTATAATCTTGACTATAGCCCTTGTAAGAGCACTTGGTTTGATACCAAAGGTTTCTTCATTTCCCTGTTGACAACTTATCTTTCCCTGCTTGTCCTTATATTTCTATACCTGCCCATCTTTAGAAATTAATTCTGTTTTTGCTGTTGAAGCTTTTTAAGTACAAAAATGTGACAACCAAAAGTGTCACAGTTACAGAGTAGACTGGTTCAATTTGTAACACTTATATATTTTAAGAGTTTTATTCAGTGATGATTTCTAGTCTGGTTGCCATGGTGATAGGAAGGACAGTCTTCAAAAATACCAGCAATTTAAGATTATAATTATAGCCTACTTTACTTTGGTCAAATTTCTGTTGCATTTTTTTGTCACCATGATAAAAGAAAATATAAAAACTGTTGATTTTTGGGGGGAACAAACTTATTTATTTTTTCAGACAAGGTTTTGAATGACTTGTCCAAAACGAATTTCTTGTATCTTTCCAAACAAGGTGATGAATGACTTTTCCAAAACAAATTTCTTGTATCTTTTTAGACAAGGTTATGAATGACTTGTCAAAAACAAATTTCTTGTATCTTTTTAGACAAGGTTATGAATGACTTTTCCAAAACAAATTTCTTGTATCTTTTTAGACAAGGTTATGAATGACTTGTCCAAAACGAATTTCTTGTATCTACACTACACATTTAAAAGACAGCACAGCAAAGAGGCTATGTTACAAAAGAACAAGACGGCAGCAACACACATACGTAGACCAATATCAGGGACGAGTTCGAGACCTCGACGATGTATGTCCGAAGGAGAGAGGATGTGCGAGGACGGTTCCTGTATAGCAAGAGTCGAACTATGTCGTGAGTATTTTGACATACTGTTATATTTCTTGTCAAAGTTGTTCTTGTTCAAAATAAAATTTCAGATCTTTCCCTCCCCCTGTTTTTCCAGAATAATCATCATTTTTTGTGTGAAACGACCCCAAAATTAAAAGGATTGTCATGCTTAGCTCACAAATTGCAAAAAATTTAGATCTGAATATATTTTTTTATTTTTTCATTTTAAGTGCTTCTGTCACTTGATCTATACAAGAATTTCAAATTTTATTATTTGCATATTTTTAAGCTTTTCTATATATTTTTTTATACTTTTTTTTTTTGTGAAGAGAAAATATTAATTTTTTAAATGTGAGAATATATGGGTATATTTACATATGATAACACAAGCTCTGAAAAGCTTTTTAAAAACCAACTCTTTAAATGCCAATTAAGTTTTCCTTTCTAATGTGTCCAGAAGACATTACTATAATGTGGTATACTCAGGAATTAAACATGATTGGGGATACTTTAACTGCATCTATTACTTAACCTTTTTCAGCTTTAAGCATTATTTGCTTTCATTGTATAGAAAGTAAATCATGACATATACTGACACTTAAGACATCCTTTAAACTGTATACATCATGAAACAACAGTCAGTCTAAGAAAAACAACCGATTCTAGATCTGCCTGGAAAATAATCTATTTTCCTTGTCCATTATCTGGATTCCCAGGGGAAATAGTTTTATACAGTTTTCTTTGCGTGACAGTAGTTATAGTGATGGGAAAATACAAATGAGCCGTGTCATGACAAAACCAACATAATGGGTTTGCGACCAGCATGGATCCAGACCAGCCTGCGCATCAGCGCAGTCTGATCAGGATCCATGCTGTTCGCTGTCAGTTTCTCCACTTGTTATAGAGTTGATAAGCGAACAGCATGGATCCTGATCAGACTGCGCGGACGCGCAGGCTGGTCTGGATCCATGCTGGTCGCAAACCCATTATGTTGGTTTTGTCATGACACGGCTCAAATGTACTCATCCCTTTAAAATCATGAGCCCCACCATTCTTTACTGATGTCAACTGGGACAATGGCAGTGATTAGTGAGATGGTTTGAGGTGCAGTTTTTTTACAGGCTCAGATTATATATGATCTTAAAACATTTGATTTAAAGAAATGGCATTTACAGAAATGACAGACTGGTGTATTCAAATCTCTTAAAGCATAAACATTTTCTATAAAGAAATGGCATTTTTTGGCAATGATTCTGTGTTGATAACGGGGTAATTTTTTAAAAAAGAAAAAAGAACACTTGAGATTTCTGTTTTAGTTTGATAAATGACTGGAGTTATCTCCCCTGATAAATATTCCCCTTAGTTTGGAGTAAAATAGTTTACTGTTATGATGATAATGGCCAAAGATCTGCAAGCATAATTATTTATTAAATGTTTTGAAAGTGAAAGTCTTGTTTTTAGCTCAACTGTTTGGAAAATATTTGTAAGATATTTTACTCAACATTGGTGTTGGCTGTGCAATCCGACCATCACACTTTCCTCAAGAAATTATGTGCAAGTTGGTATCCTCAAAGAGCCGCTGAAGGGAATAGATTGAAACTCCAAATACATATTCTCTGTGATTATATGTATCTATCATGATGGGCACACATCCCATAACTCTGAGTTACCTTTTTACAGAGTTGTGTCCCTAACTTTCTGTCAGGCACTGAGATTAGTGGAGTGCGCTATAGAGCTGTACAGACAAATACAAATCATATGGTGAATTTAAAGTTCAGATCAAGTTTTTGCATAAGTTTGAGACCGCCTCCGTGGTCGAGGGGTTAGAGTCGATGACTTCTAATCCAGTTACCTCTCTGGCGTGGGTTCGATCCCCGGGAGATGCTTTGGTAGTTTAGCGCGGAGGAAGGTAGTCTAGTACTGGTGTAACTCCCCAGGAACGATGGTTAGGAAACTACCCGCCTATATGACTGAAATACTGTTGGAAAAAGGCGTAAAATGAAACAAACAAACAAACAGCATAAGTTTGAACCTGAATCCTGCTGGAACCAAAAGTGAATACCGTAGCCATTTACATGTCATCCTGCATATCTGTGCAGTATCACCAGCCTCATTATTGTTAGCTGACTAACATTTGAGTTGCGCCATGACAAAACCAACATAATGGGTTTGTGACCAGCATGGATCCAGACCAGCCTGCGCATCCACGCAGTCTGGTCAGGATCCATGCTGTTCGCTTACCAACCCTATTACAAGTAGAGAAACTAATAGCGAACAGTATGGATCCTGATCAGACTGCGCGGATGCGCAGGCTGGTCTGGATCCATGTTGGTCGCAAACGCACTATGTTGGTTTTGTCATGACACGACTCATTTAATCATGATATCCTTTAATTTGAATAATTATTGAAATTTAGTTGCAAACAGCCCTTAAACTATTCTGCAAGGAGAAAAGAAATACATGTTCAGGGCAGTTGTGAGGCATTTTAAAGTGGTGTTCACATGTAATATTATATCTTTCATTAGATTAATATTTATATGTATTATATAGTAAAGATTTATGGCAGGTCATACATGTATAAATGGTTGCAAGCTGATATATGTTACCCCAGCTGATATTAGAGCAGTCATTTTTTCGCAGCCATATATCATTGCAGAACATTTCTGTATTCAGAGCCATATAAAATGTTTATAACAAACTTATAGCATTTTGCACTCTTGATATCTTTGACCTAAATACAAATTAACTCATGAATTTGCATGAGCTATGTAACTATGTAGATAACATAAAAATGAAAATCAACTTTTCTTAACGGCAGTAATATGATTTTTTCCCCCATACTATTATAATTGGTACATGCTGAAGGTATCAGTCAGTAATTGTATGATTCAGATATTTCAAAAAGTATGTTAATCTGTATTTTATGAAAATCATGATTTTTTATAATTTCTCTAACCTATTAGAACTGTTCAGATGTTTGTAATTAAGTGAATTTTTTCTTGGCCTGCATCCTGTGTGATTATATTACTATAACTGTGCAATTTGTACAATACATTGTTACTATTATATTACACCACAACACACTCTAACCATTTCCTATGTGACATGTTTAATAGCTGTTACATACACAATCAGATACAATGTAAAATACAAAACCTTGGGTGAAAATAAAAAAACAGCTGTGAAATAAGGGTTGAGGTATTTACCCACCATTTATCCTAAATAGGTTTGAATTACTGGAGTCTATGCATCTCTTACCTCCAGCAGGTGAGGTGGTTTTGAGCCTTGGTATTGTTTAAGTTTGTAACACCTGAGGTTAGCCAGAATCATATTTCCTGTCTCAGCGCCATATGACATTTAACTGTGTTGTTGTGTCATAAAACCAAACAAAACAAACAAACTTATCCACACAGAAGCCAAAAAAGGCGGCAATATCACCTATTGAACAGAAAGAATGCCTAGCCTTACAAGTCATGCACACTAAATTGACACTTATTGACAAAATTTGTTTTTCTAGATGCTCTCTGCACGTGTTACAAAGCATGTCACAGTATGTTGTTGTAATGTGATAATAATATATAACCTATTTGATAATCTGTTATAACATAGTCAATAATGTCTTTCTTTAAAGGGCACTGTGTATATTATGACATGAATTCCAGTAGATCATGCTTTATCATAAATATTTGAAAGATGTTTTGTAAAATATTATAGATTATAAACAGTCTATTTATATGCCAATACATGACTACATCATGTGGCACATTTTTGTCTCATTTGTTAGTCTGAATTTGGAACAGACAATTTTGAGTTTAAGTGATTTTATATCAAATTATATTTACAAAAACTCAGCTAATAACGACTAACTTTTGGAATGTCAGTTGCCCACTCAGTTTCCTTTTGAGCATGACATTATGCACAAAATGGCACCCTAGGTCTTTCTCCACCAGTAAAGCTGGAAAGTTACATTATGACCTCTACTGTGTTGGTGCAACATAAATTTTTTAGCAACCAAACAAAAAAATATTATAAAAAAAATACATATAGAAATATGAAGATCATGACATTGATTCCCTCAATGAGACAATTTTGAACCTTGAGCCACAAGTTCTCATTTTTCGGCATCTAGAACTATTTATCAACAAATAGAGACATTCATAAAGACATCTTTTACATTGTGTAATCATTCTTAAATAATAAATCTTACATAAGAAAATATTGAGCCGCGTCACAACAAAACTAACATAATGGGTTTGCGACCAGCATGGATCCAGACCTGGCTGCGCATCCGCGCAGTCTGATCAGGATCCATGCTGTTCGCTTACAAACTCTATAACAAGAGAAACTGATAGCAAACAGCATGGATCCTGATCAGACTGTGCGGATGTGCAGGCTGGTCTGGATCCATGCTGGTCGCAAACCCATTATGTTGGTTTTGTCGTGACGCAGCTCATATCATTGAATAACACTTATTATTAGCATATGTAAGATAACTTTGTGTATTATGAATTTAATCAAATACTAGTGATGCTGTTTTATTAAGCATTTGTAGAATACCAAAAGGAAATAAAAAAAACCCAAGCTTTTTTACGGTAAATTTTAATATATATCTATACTGCAGAGAGGGAAATGAAATGTTTTACCATAAATTGTTGACCTTCAGTACAACATAGTAAATTTATACCTTTGATGGAATATAATGTTAACACAAAAAATGTTTGTTATGTATAATTGTAGCATTTTGAATGAACATGTTTCATTAATAAATGAAGGCTAGCATGACTTTGCCATATTTTTCAGCGGAAGAGCAGCTGATGAACCAGAATACAATACTGATCATGATCATTGTGGGGCTTGCAGTGGTTGTGTTCCTTGCTATACTCTACTGTTTCCAGAAACGACAACAACAAGCCAACAGACAATTAGGTAATAAAATATTTATAATCTTGCTACGATTCCTATATCAACCTTTACCCTGTTGAAGCTTTTGCCTTCAGTATAGTGCCAGGTCGGCCTCCACTTCTGTTCTGTCACTGTCTGACCAGGCTCTATACTGTGGGTGCCTTACTTTAAATTTTCATCCACTTTGCATTACATTATACTTCTAGTATATCACGAAATACTTTTCCACCAATTTCAGAGATGAAGTTTCCCTCTTGGCAAGGTTTTAAGTCATTATGTTGTTGTCTTACATGGAACCAATGCAGCTGGTATAAGGTGGGCCAGCCTCCATGTCGGTGCAGTCTGGCCTAGCGTTATACTGTTGGCTGACTAAGTTTTCAAGTTGATATCCAAAAATTGATAATGGACAGTTCTTTAAATGGGAAGTGTGAGGAGTTCATTTTGAGAAATTCAGCCGATTAACCCTTACCATTACCAATACCTTAAATGGACTTGTCTATCTATCATTCTGGACTAAACAATTTATCATTTTAGGGAAAATTACAAAAAAAAATAATAACATACTAACTGAACACACCAGAATCAGAACACTTTGTTAGCCACTTCCTGGTTACCATTTTGATATAAAATATCATTTGACATTTCCTTGTTTCTTATTTTAAAGTTCATATAATAAGCACTTTCCCCAATTTAATAGACATTTAAAATTAGACTTGTCTTATTACTTATTTTGCAATTAATTGGATATATTTAAGATGCAGCAGTAATCATTCTTGTGCCCTAATAACTGTTTTCATAATTTTGGCTTTTAATTTATTTAAGTAAGAGTACTAAATTAATGCTTACGTGACAAACTGACAGGAAAAGGAATCTGTATAGATTTGCATATATTTGTCGTAATTTCTGAGAGAGATTTTTTTTACATAAATGTAAAAAGCAGAGAATAATAGTAACAGATTTTCTGTCGATGGATCTCGGGTTACTATTCCCTTAATGTTTTTTTGCCTACAGATGGAAATCGTCTGCGGTAAAATTTCGTCTATACATTATTTAAGTCACATGTTTAAACGTGAGTGTATATTTTATTATGTATGGTGTTTGGTTAGTTAAGCGAAAAATTGCATGTCACACTGCTTGAATTATTTAAGTTGTGTAGTCCTACGTATACGATTTAAATATAATGTCACAGTGGGTTTCTTATTTTTAAAGCTCACTTAGAGCACAAGTGCTTATGGTGAGCTTTTTTGATCACTCAGACAGTGTAATTCTATTGTCCCGCTATCTGTCTGTCTGTCTGTCTGTTGATCAACACATTACTTTTAAACAGATTTCTTCCCTATTAGTCACAGGGTCATTATCAATATCAGTCAATCTTTTTTTTTTTAATTTTCCTTGGATAATTCTTCCTTTAAAAGATTCCAGTTCATGCAGAACTCTCATTACCATGGCATTCAAAAAGAAAAACTTAAAAGATCTTTTGATGAAAAACTTTTTATATGAAATTATTTCACAAAAATGATCCTGAGCTGGCCTGATTTAATAAGATTGTTATAATAATTTCATATCATGGCTGCTAGGAGGGTGTGGTTTATTTTTCCTATAATATGTATAAGGCGCTTTTCAATTTTTAGAAAAGCCTGAAAATCTTTTTAAAGATTGTTTGTTTAATTTTGATATTTTTTAGCTCGACTATTTGATAAGAATAAGTAGAGCTATTGCAGTCACCCGAGCGTCCGCGTCGGCGTAACCACTTATGTTAAAGTTTTTGTAATAGTTCAAATATTTTCAAAGTCCATAGACATATGGCTTTGAAACTTTGCACACTTGTTCACCATCATAACCCCAACTGTAGACAGGAGGAGGTAACTCTATCAAGCATTTTGACAGAATTATGCCCCTTTTTCAACTTAGAATTTACGTTAAAGTTTTTGTAATAGTTCAAATATTTTCAAAGTCCATTGACATATGGCTTTGAAACTTTGCACACTTGTTCACCATCATGACCCCAACCTGTAGACAAGAGGAGGAAACTCTATCAAGCATTTTGACAGAATTATGCCCCTTTTTCGACTTAGAATTTACGTTAAAGTTTTTGTAATAGTTCAAATATTTTCCAAGTCCATTAACATATGGCTTTGAAACTTTGCACACTTGTTCAACATCATGACCCCAACCTGTAAACAGGAGGAGGTAACTCTATCAAGCATTTTGACAGAATTATGCCCCTTTTTCGACTTAGAATTTACGTTAAAGTTTTTGTAATAGTTCAAATATTTTCAAAGTCCATTGACATAATATTATGGCTTTGAAACTTTGCACACTTGTTCACCATCATGACCCCAACCTGTAAACAGGAGGAGGTAACTGTATCAAGCATTTTATTTACTATCAAGCACTAAGAATAGTCGAGCGTTGCTGTCCTACCGACAGCTCTTGTTTATATTATTTCACCCTAGTTCAAGCTCATAAACGTTTTGATGTAGAATTGATGTTTGTTTTTTTTTTTGTAAGAAGTATTCACAAAATGAGCCGCGTCATGACAAAACCAACATAGTGCGTTTGCGACCAGCATGGATCCAGACCAGCCTGCGCATCCGCGCAGTCTGATCAGGATCGATGCTGTTCGCTATCAGTTTCTCTACTTGCTATAGGGTTTGTAAGCGAACAGCATGGATCTTGATCAGACTGAGCAGTTGTGCAGGCTGGTCTGGATCCATGCTGGTCACAAAGGCACTATGTTGGTTTTGTCGTGACGCAGCTCAAATGTTGTATATATTTCAGGTGGAGACTCGGGAATGTCTGATGACTGTGATAATGAATCTCTTTATGCTCCACCACCTGCATATGAGGAAGTTGTCAATAGTAACATGTATCCTGCCACTCCAGAGCAAAGAAGAGTAAGTAAAAATTTGTGTCACGGATTTGCACTGCTTTCAATTTGGAACAGTTCTTCTAACACTTCTATGGGTTTCATTATGAAAATACAAAAATTAAGCTACCACCAGTATAGAGCCTGGTCAGACTGCAGGGTTGTGCTGACTGGCCTGGCTCAATACTGATTGCTAAAGCATATTGACTCTTGATTCAAGTAGGTTAATGGTAAATGATACTTGGCTTGGATATTTTTTTTTCTTATTGATATATTGGGCTAGTTGGATATTGGGTATCTACCATTCATTTTTAAAACACATTTTCCTCAGAAAAGAATAAATTTCACTTCTTAAGAAAAAGGCAAACATGAGTTTTATTACATTTAAATAAATGTTTTAGAGCAGGTTTCTTAAGAAAATAATGATGAATGAGAAATTATTTGCCATAAAAGTAGCAAAATGTGAACAAAGTAGTATTTTGACGTCCATACATATTAATACTTTATCACTATAAATGTACTAATTGCAAAAAATAAAAAATAAGTTTCTGGGGCAAATTGGGCCTTTAAGATTAAACAGTGCCTTATTAAGAACTACCTTAGCAATACAAATCTATTCATATCGAGCAAGCTACCATATACATTGCTTATGAAGTTGTTTTGTTAGATTTTTGTGTTTCTCAAAATGTTATTATACACTTTATACAGTCAGTACAAAACACAATAAATGTACATGTAAATGTTATGAAATATATAAGGTGAGGTGCATTAATTATAAA